CCCCCAAATCCCACAATTTAGCCACAACTGCACCTGCTCTCTGAATGTAAATGTCAAAGAAAGAGCTCAAGAGCACAGTTATTTACCAAATTGCTTGTTCCTCTTCAGACCAACGACCCCGTCACCAATATCTGCCAAGCAGCCGACAAACAGCTCTTCACCTTGGTGGAGTGGGCCAAAAGGATTCCTCATTTCTCTGAACTCCCTCTGGACGACCAGGTCATCCTACTACGAGCAGGTGGGCACATGCAGACCCAGATTCCATGTTTGGATTTCTTTGCAGCAGCTGTTCATTCCCAGGCAGCACGTCATTTTTAAAATTTCGCTCAACARGTTTTTTGCCGTCTCGTTAAATAGAGCAGCGAAACCAAATATATCTGGACTATTTGCCAAGTCCCAGCAGTGCGGTTTGCAGCAGCAACTCTCGCACTGGTTTTTGCTGGTTTCACTCTCGTGCCTGAATAAGGAAGTCACAAACAGGATCTAATAAAAGTCATTAAACCAACATAAAAAAAGATTTTAGAAATTAAAGMGGGGATGCATATTTTCTGCCACCTTTCATTGATTTTCTTTGAAATCCATTTATGGGTTCATTTATAAATATTTTGTTTGTTTTTATCACTTTTTTATWACTCTACTTTTGCCTCAGTGGCAGCGAGGAAAACATGAAATACAGAATTCTGTAATATGTTTTTTTTTATCTTCAACGCATCCAGGGTGGAACGAGCTGCTCATCGCCTCTTTCTCGCATCGCTCCGTCACYGTTAAAGACGGCATCCTGTTGGCTACGGGTCTTCACGTCCACAGAAGCAGCGCCCATAGTGCTGGAGTGGGGTCCATCTTTGACAGGTAGGAAATACTAAAAAAAAAAAAAAAAACCTCCACCTCACAGACCAAGGAAGTTGAGTATACACTGCCACCTTGTGTTGGTCACAGGTACTGAGATGGAAAGAAGAAATACAGCATCAGTTGTAGCAATTATTCTTATACAACTAATAAAACCGGCATAATCTCATATTATTATTTATTAGTTTACATTTAAAATACAAATATAAAAAGAAGGATTTAAAAGCATATGTTTACTTTAATAAGTTCCTGTTAACGTGCTGTAAATCTTGATTACCTGCAGGGTTCTGACAGAATTGGTGTCTAAAATGAAAGACATGCAGATGGATAAAACAGAACTTGGCTGCCTACGGGCCATAGTCCTCTTCAACCCAGGTGGGTCTTGGCTGCACATGGAGCATTCAAAGACTTTTCCTCTGGTGCAGTATTTATGCCTAATCTTATACGATTGCTTTGAAATCTGAGGAGAGTACTTTTATATTTTAGTAAATAACAGTGATGTTAATCTGAGCTTGTGTTTGACTTTGTTTCAGATGCAAAAGGTTTGTCGAACCCATCAGAGGTAGAGGCACTGAGAGAAAAAGTCTACGCTTCGCTGGAYTCGTATACTAAACAAAAGTACCCAGACCAGCCTGGCAGGTATGAAATGCAAAACATTACAGCATTAATGTGTAATAAACACCACTATACACAACAGTTTACAGCATTTCACTAAACAGATCCCACACAAAAACTGTTTCTGTGTATGGAGGACCAACACTGACAAAAATTTAAATAAAATAAATATAAATGGACTAATAAATAAATATACTTAAAATCCACCAATTAATTAAAAAACACTTTACCTCATGTTTTATTATTTAATTGACCCTCATTTGTATTTTTACAGCTTAATTCAAACACATATATAT